TTTTGATTATTTTTAATAGTGGAGTCCTACAACCCTAATAAAACTTTCTATATACTTCTTTTTTGTTTATTCTTCGTGGTTTTATTTTTTTAAAAAGTACTTTAAACTGTATAAATAATGTAAAATTAAATTGATTTAAACTGCCAATCATACGAAAATCTTCCTATAACCTCTACGTGGTGGTTGGGACAATTAGAAGTAATCTCAGAAACTAAATATCTCAAATTTTACTAAATTAGTTATTTAGTGATAAAGTTTATTAAATTAATAAACAAAGTGTAGATATTAAAAAAAATTTTTTTTTATATTAATTATGCTTGGTTGTGATGTTAAATCGATGAAAAATCTAAATTGTATACAATTTGTAATGTGATATTCTTAAACAAAACAAATTAACAATAGTTTTATTTGGCATTTAAGATTACTGAATGTATCGAGTCATGCCGGTAAAGTTAATAGTATACTATAGTTGCACCATAATATAACGCAAAGAGTTCTGTAACACGTTGGTAGAAAATAAAAAATTCTTTATTGGATCAAAAAACAACTTATTCTAGTTTCTCTTAGCAGTTCTCAAAGCACATAGAAAACCCGGGACATCTCCGAAAAAATATTTTCAAATTTTTTATCAATAAAAAAGAAATAGGTTTATTAAAAATTGATATAACAGATTAAAAAAAATTTCTTACAACAAACACCAACAAATTGGAATTCTATAACCGCCGTAAACTTTAATCAAACTAATCCTGCTATTCAATCATACTGTTGTATATTATTAACAAGAGGAGCCGTTATTCTCAAGTCAGGTCCGATCGTCCACATGACAGATTGATCGTCAACAACTCTGGTATGAACATTTATAAACCTAAAACCATCTTTACCTAATGGAAACGGAAAGATAACCGAAGCTGTAAAAAAATTATTGTTGATCTCCACACTACAAACAACGGCCGAAGAAGTTTGTAATGAATCGGCGTTTTTTGTGGCAAACTCTCTATAATTTAATGCTACGTCTGAAAATTTTAAATTATTTAATAAAGAATTCTCAGGATTCGATTTCTCAAAGAAATCGATATTTGATCCAAAGATGATCATTTCAATGCTTTTCAATTTTTTTGATACAGCTTCATAACCTGATCGCACTATTCCTTCCAACTTAAGAACGAGTTTTTCTTGAACCAAAATTGGTTTATTGTTTCCCTTAAAATACGGGACGTCAAGCCAATGGATACGTGTTCTTTGTTGTCTATCAAAGAAGTATGGTGGAATTTTCATGGGAATTTTTAACATGGCACGTACAAAGTCACGTACAACTAATACTGGATTCGACGGTGCACTTTGAAGTTTATGCTGTTCAATTTCCCTCAATATTTGAATGGATTGAGTATACAATGCTAATCTTTCTTGCTGATCTATCTCGCCTGCCTTCCATGAGTTGGTAAAGCCATTCATATCAGCATTCACATATCGTATCATTGGAATCAATGGAATCAAGGAAGGGTCAATGTGTTCTTGGCTTGGTTCAACTCCAGTAAGAAGACTTTTTATGGCATATACCAATATTAGGCAGCAAATCCTGTATGATTCTAAGATCTCCAAACTTTTCTTATCAACATCAAAGAATGAATGTGCTACGAAATCGTGCATGTGTGCAGTTCTTAATAACATTTCCTGAATATCAACCATGTCCTTTTTTTTACGTCTAATTCTAGGATTCATATATTGGTTCAACTTTTCCAAAAAGGATTTCATGGTCTTAAAAAACTCAACTCGAAGAAGGTAAAACCATTTTGCAAATAATCGTTGACTGGAGATGTCCATTAATGCCATAAATCCATTTAATTCTTCGTCACCTTGTGCGTAACGACGGATAGAATCTTCAAATGTATCTAAAATATCTGCTTGCCCTGGTCGCAAATCGAACATTTGATCTATGCCCACTTTCATAACCATTCCTTTTTCTGCTGTTGCGATATTAATTAGAGCTCTAAGCCAATATCTTGAGGCGTCTACATCAACAACTGTAACAAAAAATTGCATAATATTCGCCATGACAAAGAAACATCCAGATTTACCAGAGTCTACACCAATCAGATAAATATTCCACTGATTATTACAAACAGTGCTCCCATCGAACTGACCAAAATTTTTAATTATTGCAATGATCATTTGTTGGAAACTTTCTGCTTCTGTATTATTTTCAGGAGGGACTTTTAATGCAGTTTTTGCCAAGAGAGTAAACGATCGTGGCATTTGCAAAAGCTCGCTAGATTTCAGGACTGCCATTAAATCTTGCATTAACGTTTGAATTATTGATTTCCTGAGTTTACCAACCATTAGGATAAATTTGGACACTTCGGCAAGAATGTCGTCATTGTTCGTTGTAATATATTCTTGCATTACTTTAATAATAGACCTTGATACATCTAAGGCCATGGTATCATCTGATAAACACATTGAAAAAAGAAATTTAAGATACTTCTTAATAATTTTCCCATGTGTATCACGATCTAATACATTTATATCCGCGACCTGCATCAATCCTACAATAATCGATAGGAATGACGATTGGATTTTTGAAGAAAGTTCTCCAATGTATGTATTCCATTCTTTCCAAATTAAAATATCTGTACGCGATACAATGCGTCGTGTTTCTATAATAAGTTCAGTACAAAATTGAGCAGCAATTATGCTCACTTCACCGGTAATATGGTGGATCATATCCTCACAATTTTGAATAGAATGAAGAGCTTCTATACATAAGTCTTGATCAGATCCCTGTGATAAGAGGTCAGCGAGTAACCTTCCACGTTTAATCAAGACCGTCAAGATACGTAATGCCTTAACTTTGATGACTTGTTCTGGCGCGTTAACTACTAAATTTAACAATCTCAAGGCATGTGAAACACTGAAAACTGAATCTTTTTTAGCCAAATTTAATAAATCAACTAATGCATTGCTTCTCACATATTCATTTGAACCATTAAGTGCATATTCCATCAATAGCTCTACTTGATCGGATCTGTCAACAAGTGCACGACAAGATAATAAGGTCAGCGTTCTCAAAATGGCTGACTGCATTATTCCGTCAGAAGTTTGCTCAAGCATTTGAAGGCATAAATTTCTTGACTTATGAGCTAGGCTTATTTCCCAATGCATGTTACGTAATATACGTATTAATTTTATTCTAAAAGCCATCGGTAAGTCATTGGATTGAAGTTTTGTTTCCAGTTGGTCACATAAAATGACAGCAAATTTTTCGGTTTTTGCGCACAATTTATCTGCTGCAAATATGGCAGCATTCGCCTCAATCGGAAAAGTAGAATCTAGACGTTGAAGTATTCTGCAGGAAAAAAAAGCAAAAAATAGATATATATATACGTATTATAAATTATCAATTTTTCATATCAATGTAACATAATGATTACACGACCTGTTTACCCATGTTGAATATCGATTCGATCTGTTAATAGAATAGATAAATAGCCAAGGATCCTCAGAGCTATTGCACGGGCCACAGTATCATTGCTTCGGTTTTCCAAAGGGTAAAAAATGTTTTTCACCGTATGGTCGAGAGCGGCACTATCAGTTTGCTTAATGTATTTTTCTGTTTCTTTGAATACTTTTAAAAGGCAGTATCGAATTTCATTCTTATCACACGTTCTGAAACATTCCGCGAGAAATGACAACGTATTACAGATTAAATTTGGATCGGGATATTCGTCGAACTTTCGCGTAACATCTGAAAACTGGATAAGTTGTTCTTCTACAGTTTTCGCGACACGTAATTTGTTGAGAATTTCTCTCTTTAGTTTGCCGTAATCCTGGATTACTTTTCTTTTTGGCTTCATTGCACAAAAATCAAGATGATTTTTATTGGCAACATTCGTTATTATATACGTACGTACGTAATCATGAATTTTGTGTAACTGAATATTGGATATTCAATGAATATCCTTTTCCAACCTTTTCCATTACACATGATTATTGAAAGAAATAACTCTCATATTTTAACCCAAATCGACCACAGATCGTTGTTTTTCAAACACCTCTCACCATTATTGTTGGACACAACGGATCCGGAAAAACAACTATAATAGAATGCTTAAAATACACGACCACAGGCGACCTCCCACCATGTGCTAAAG